TTGTCTCCAGAAGTACAGTCCCCAAATAGTCAATTACGAGGCTTATTGGACCTTATTATTTACCCCATTCTTTTTTTTTTGGAATGAAAGCTACTTGTTTTTGTTACTATTATTATTGGTCACAATATAATAATAATAATATTAATAATCAAGAGTATTCAAGAAATGGAGTAAGCAAGTAAGATTCAGTAGCCCATGCAATTGACAAAGCTCTTTTGGAAACATGTATAAACAAGATTAGAAAATAAAAAGCCAGTGGACAATGTATGTACTTGGCACTAATGCAGTTATGTAGATGTATATGTATATAAATTTTTTTTATTCATATTCAAGAGTGTGTGTGTGTGAGTATGAGTATAAGTATGAGTGTGAGTATGAGTATAAGTGTGTGTGTGTGTGTGTGTGTGTGTGTGTGTGTGTGTGTGTGTGTGTGTGTGTGTGTGTGTGTGTGTGTGTGTGTGTGTGTGTGCGTGTGTGCGTGTGTGTATGCATGTGCGTGTTTGCATGTCCGTGTGTGTATGTGTGTGTGCGAGTGTTTGTATGTCTGTGCGCGTGTGCTTATTTATTTATTTATTTTATTTTATTGTTTGTGTGTGGATGTGAATTTATGTATTTATGTGTATGTTTGTGCTTGTTTTTAGGGTGTGTGTGTGTGTGTGTGTATATATATATATGAGTTTGTGTGTGTGTGTGTGTGTGTGTGTGTGTGTGTGTGTGTGTGTGTGTGTGTGTGTATATATATGAGTTTGTGTGTGTGTGTGTGTGTGTGTGTGTGTGTGTGTGTGTGTGTGTGCATGTGCGTGCAAGCGTGTGTGCATGCATGCGTCTCTGTTTGTTTATTTGTGGTATGTGTGTATGAGTTTTCTCTCTCTCTCTCTCTCTCTCTCTCTCTCTCTCTCTCTCTCTCTCTCTCTCTCTCTCTCTCTCTTTCTCTTTCTCTTTCTCTCTCCTTGTCTCTCTCTCTTTGTCTCTCTCTCTCTGTCTCTCTCTCTCTCTCTCTCTCTCTCTCTCTCTCTCTCTCTCTCTCTCTCTCTCTCTCTCTCTCTCTCTCTCTCTCTCTCTCTCTCTCCTTCATCTTTGTCTTCTTTCTTTTCTTTCTTTCTTTTCTATTTTTTTTCTTTCTTTCTTTCCTTCTATTCTTTATTAATTATTTATTTTCCCACTTCTTCTTCTTCTTTTTCTTTGATAGTGATTGTGTATTGTGTGTTTATGTGTATTATGTGTTTATGTATGTATGCATGTATGCTTGCATGTGTGCAGGCATACAGAAGACTTACTGTGCAAGTGAAAAGTATGTGCTAAATGTGTACATGTTCTTATCTACAAAGCTATGTGTGTTCTGATTGCCAGAGTTTTCTTTCCACAATTTACAACTGTTTCAGATGTATTTTCATACTGAATTTGGTTCAGTGCTTCTGGAATCATGGGATGTGTCTGTTTTTCAAATGGGGAATAGTACTTAGACTATGAAAGTGTTAAACATACAAAATGTTGCACTTGTGCTTTGGTGACATCTTAAGCTCTCCTGCTCTGACAACAACACACTAATTATTGCAGACTTTTCAGTTAATTCATTATGAATTTGAATACAGCTAATGTTCTATACCAGTCATATTGTTATTGGAATCATATTGAAAGGCACTTATCAAAATAAAAATATTGTACTTCCATTAAAGACTATTGCACCAATTATCAAGTGTGATCTTTGGTGTCAAGAATTATTAGAAAGACACCAGTGTGTTTTGTAGAGATAAGTAGGAAGTGTGTTCTCTGTTAATTTTTGTACAGATATATTGCTCCTGATTTGTGAGAATAGGTAACGCATATGACACATGCTGCATAGAGAGATGTAGTGGATGTTGAGGTTTTAATTGTTGCTTTGAATAGTTTGTTTTAAACACCTGCAGGAGGTTTGATATTAGTAATGATGGACTTGTCATCATTTTAGGCCAGATGAGATTCTTTACTATGAATACTTTCCTCTGTAATGTATACTCTGTACATTTGTTTACTGTATTCACTATGGGCTGGTAAAGTATGTATTACCATAGTTAGCATTCAGTAGTTTGCTGCTGCAGGAGGTACATAATTCCTTTATATTTTTACTTCTATGCTCATAGAAGTTCTTATTAGCAGAATGTAGATGCCTACACACACATTCTATAAGTATACAGTTACTATTTGCTTATGTTTTCCATCTTTTTTGATAGCTCAGTACTTCAGTAACTTACCACTATATGGAATTTTCACATAAACCAGCTGAAATGGTAGCATGGCCAATAGGTGCCAGTCAGTTGCATGCAACATAGCTCACTCAGCTGATGGTAACATAGTAGTTTAGTGCCATTACCATTAAAAGTATTGTTAGTTTTGATTTTACTGATGATGATTCCATCTTTGTGGGAAATTATTTAAAAGTTACCATTGTGTTTTGAAGCTGTATTTACAGAATGTGTTTCTGGTTAGTCAAAACCAATTATGGGTGTTCTCAATTTTTATATAATGTAGAACATTGCCCTGTTATTGTAAAACAAAAACATGTTTAAGTCATATAGAAGGAAAGGGTCACTTTTATATCTTGTTTTGTATGACTGATTTATTTTTCAAATATTTTCTGAAAAATTGGGTTTGTTATATATAAAAATAGGCCAGATGTTAGAGCCTTCGTTATTTGTTTGGAAGAGATATGTTTTTATCCATGTTGACTAGCTGCGTATTATTTTCTATTTGTAGTTCCTTATTAAGCATGGGGAGCTTACACTGGTAACAGTACTTTTGGATATTTTCTGTTTTACTTGATTTTTTTCCTCAACATATTCTGACTGCCTGGCATGTATGGAACCCATCTTTTATGTATGCAAATTTTTGAGTCCCTTCCATCACACTTCAGGTTATTTTCAGAATGCTGATCCAAGCCTACAGGTTTTGTAAAGTTTTTGAGCTTCCACAAGAGTAACAAGAAAACTCATGGTGAATTTTCACCACCTATAAATGTGCATCCTGTTTATTACCCTAGGGTGGCCAGGGATGTGACTGCATCCCTGCTGATGCCTCCACCACCCCCTCCCCCTCTGGCCGAGTCCCTGCAGGGTGCTGGGGGGAACAACCGAGGGAGAGAGGAGAACCCAGACCACGGCCTCAAGAGACAAAGATCATGTAGCCCGCAAGGTTTGTACCCACTCATGTATCTACTCTCTCAACAGAAGTGTTGGGGCTCCATCTGGGTGAGAAGTGGAGCTGAGCATAACTGTGGTTACAGATTTCCTGATTTCACCCGAGAAGGCTAGGAGCATGCTGAAGAATTTGTATCATGTATTAAGAATCTTTTTTACCTCCCTCAACTCATGATCACTTTCTTCTCCATGAAAATCTCTGAACAGACTTTCCTAATGCTGATACCTTTTGCACCCTTCAGGCAGTTGTTATGGTTTTATATTTCCTCTTTTAGGACATTATTATCACCCTTTACAGAATTTTAAGCATGTATTAGTTGTTTTTTATGGCAGTCTCTGCCAGCTGACAAAATTTTTTCATCCTCGATATCCCCACTAAATGTATATCCTGTCATTTCGAGGAGCTGCTTCTATATTGTTTAACATGTATCCCAACATTATGAGGAGCTGCTTATTTATTATGTATTGTTGCTCACCACTTTGAGGAGCTGCTTGTATTTTCTAAACATGTCCCAACACTGCGAGGAGCTGCTTGTATGTGAATCTAGCATTACATTGTAGTATGACTAGCAATAAGTAGTGAAATCTGAAACTTCTATTATTCTATTTGATAGGAAAGTAAATATTTATTTTCTGAGATATTTTCAGGTATGCAGATATGCTAGTGTCATCCAGTTTCATCAGAGCTTTTTATTTAAAGTAAAATTAACTTGTAGACTGACTTATTTTTTTCCCATTTTATTTTAAATCAGATTCTATCTTTCTCAGAGACCTATTATAGATTCCTTTAAACCCTTTTTTTAATTTTTAATAAATTTGTATTTATTTTGACTATCAGATGGAGAACATTAAAGAGTATAGGGCCTTCCATTGTATACAATGTAACCTTTCACGTCAAGACTCAGGGAACATAGGCACATTGTATCCATGAGCTACAACTTTTCAGCTGTGTCTGATGCAGATGTCATGGCATTTTTTTTTTTTTCTTTTTCTTTTTTTTTTGTTTATTTCTATATTTCTTTTACATTGCAGGCCAGTGCAAAAGTTAGCTTTTGTATCCTTAGGTTTACTTTTAGAAATCCTTTATATATTCAATTATGAAATTACTAAAGCTGATTATTCCTCTAGACAGTATCTTTTATTACACAAGCAGAACATTCCCAAAGCTAAACAGCAGGTCATCCCAATCTAGCACGGAGCTCTCTTGTCTCTTTCTCAATTTTCAGATTTACTTACTGCATTCTAGTAGAAAAAAAGAATTTGCTTGTTTCTTTGTTTTTCACATTTGTTTTGTATGTAGTTCCAGACTGAACAATTTCTGTGATTGGAGCAAAGCCTAAATTTGAAATGTCACACTGTCAAATTCTTCACCTAGGAAAGTCATGTATGTTTGTCCTTAGATCTGTGTAGTTGTTGCCTTGAGGGATGTGAGCAGAGCAGCAGTAACCCACAAGTGCATATTTGCTGTTTTTCCACCATTCCAAATGTCTCCTTCATTCTCTCTTTAGTTGTGTGATTTATTGCAAAGTTTATTTTTGTCAGGTTTGCTTCTGTATTGGCCGAACAAATTAGCTCTTCCCTCAATTTTTAAGTATTTCTTTTTCCATTTTTTTTATTATTTTTTTTATTACAGTTATTTGCTTTTAACTTTGTTTTTCTTTTCTTTTCTTTTTTTTCTTTTCCTTTTTTTATACATTTTTTTTTTTTTCCTTTTTCTTTCTTTCTTTTTCATATACATGTTTCTCCACTCTGTCTCTGTAAAAATTGGTATCATCTTTTAAGGCTCTGATCTTAGAAACCTAGAGTCTTCTATACCACACATTCTCA